GAGATTGCATCACTCAGCAATGCAACGTCAGACACAATGCACTCAATGGAGTGAGTGACGTCACTGTGATGGGTAAGGTTAGGTGAGCTCATTAAAAAACATTGGATGCAGCTCAGATTGCACTGCACCAGGTCTGCATCCAGACCCCTCTCCAATTTGGCGTCAACATAAAAGCATGGATCATTCCTGCCTTGTATCAGTGGTTCAGGCTGCTGGTGCTGTAATGCTGTGGGGGATATTTTCTTGGCACACTTTGGACCAATTAGTACCAATTGAGCATTGTGTCAATGCCACAGCCTACCTGAGTACTGTTGCTGACCATGTCCATCCCTTTATGACCACAGTGTATCCATCTTCTAATAGCTAATTCCAGCAGGATAACACGCCATGTCATTAAGGCAGTTCTGAAGGCAAACGGGGGTCCAACCTGGTACTATGAAGGTGTGCCTAATAAAATGGCCACGAGTATAATATGCTACAATACACCACAACTTACTGTAGTTAATTTTTGTTTTTTTACAGTATTTATTACACAATTTAAGTTCACTATGGTTAATATTACGGTATGCAGTAGCATTCATATATAAAAAGGTTGTAGATGTAAATATTATAATATAGATATATATATATATAACTTTTACTATGCACTGTATATTACTATACTATTTTTTTAATGTAGGTGAACTTAACATAAAAATAAAAATTCATCCAAAAAACTGAATACTTTTTAAGCAATCAGTTATTTATTATCATAACAACATGTAGGGGGGCTGAAAATGTAAATTTAAATGACAAAAATTGACTGTAAGGATGTAAACTACAAAAATGTAATTTTGTGATAACTGTCATAAAGCACATGTTACTGTATGTCTTATTAAATGTTATGTACACAATGAACAACCATGAGTGCACAGGCATGTATGTATTATACAGGCCTGTGATTAAACAAGCAGTGGCCTAGCATGTATTATACAGTTTTTTAAGACAACTTCATGGATGTGCGTGAATTGTTCATATTGTTATGACAACACTGTTGTCTGTACGCAAGTCTTTTTTTTAAACAGCAAGGAAATATTTATCAGTTTTTAATTTACTGTATTCATGTAAAGGTACCCTTAATGCGAAACATAATGAAAAGCATGTTCTCCCCGTGTTGGCGTGGGTTTCCTCCGGGAGCTCCAGTTTCCCTAGTCCAAAAACATGTAGTATAGGTGAACTGGGTAAGAAAAATTAGCCGTAGTGTGAAAATGTAAGAGTGTATTGGTGTTTCCCAGTACTGGGTTGCAGCTGGAAGGGCATCCACTGCATAAAACATATTCTGTAAAAGTTGGGGGTTTATTCCGCTGTGGTAGCCCCTGATAAATAACGGACTAAGCTGAAGGAAAACGAATGAATGAATAGCAATGTGTCTACAAATGGCTTTATTGCAAAGTTTTATAGTATGTGAGGGACCACTATCCACATTTGTGTTTACATACAAGGTCCACAAGCATTATTAAAATCTACCACATAGTGACAATAATATCCTCACACAAGTAAGTGCAAATCGGAAACGTAAAAAAATACAGTAAAGGCACTCTTTTGAATCTCTTGTATACTATCAAGTCAAAATCCAACAATACTTTTAGTGCTACAGTCCAGTTAAACACAAATCATAGTTAAAAAATCTTATATTTCATATGGCGTCAAGGTATTATTCACAAACCAATTGTGCTATGGCAATACCCTCAGAAGGTCAGCAACGTATATCACATGGTGAAAATGCTGGTGGTTGCAAGTAAAATGGAAAAGTGAAACAGTGCTCTAAAAAGTCCTCAGTGTCCTCCTCAGATAAAGTGTATCATGCTGTCTTCACATTCTTTTGGCACAGGAAGGTTATAACTCTGACAGGTCAATTTGTAATTCTGCCCGCCGTTGTTATCCCAAAACTGAGTGCCCATTACTTTATAACAAATCGCAAACTCCAGCACTGCCCCAGGATGAAGAATGAATGGAGGAACTGGAAGATGAAAACGAAAAGTGTCACAGCAGGGTCCGTTTGAATTGAATTTGCTTGCCACCCAGTAAGCCTTGGTTTCAGAGCAGCTCTTCCAGTTCGTAAAAGAATAGCGAACACTCACTTCCTTCTCAAATGCCAGGTTTACAACTTGAACGATCCCAATAATGCCAGGCTCATAGCACAAAACCCGCTCTAGACATACTTGTTGGAAACATAGTCGCTCCACAAAGTCTGAACTATCACCAGGCTGGATGGAGAACAAGGGTTTCAGATATGGTAAGGAGATCTCCATCCTCTTACTAGAGGCTAACTCTGCATTCATTAGCAGTCGAAATAAGACATGCTCTGGGATGAACGGATCCTCCCCACTTTTGAAAACCTTGACATTTTCCAGGTCCAACCCCAAGGAGTCCACAAATCGGACATTGGCTCTACGGCTGAGCCGTCTTCTCTCAGATGGAGAGGGAAGGGACTGCGTTCGCCTCTGGATGATGGATTTGGTTGGTGGTTCACATGACAGACTACGGCCTGCTGTTTGCCGTGGAGTTGTTCTTGGACTCGGTGGCCGTATTTTAACTAGCCTCCTCTCGCTGTCTGTTTTTGACCTGGACATGTCCTGTAAAATTGATGTGGAAGTTTCTTTTGAGCCATCCGATACTGTGGTAAAAAATAGGTCAACATTCATCTCTTCAAGGGGTGTGACTTTATGGCAACATCCCAAAGACCAGGCCATGTTTATTAGAAAGAGTCAATACACCTTGCATAGAGAACTTTAGGGAGACACAAAAAAGAGAGGTTGTTAAAATGGATAACTATTGTAGGAAGTGGTAAGTTAGTACACATGTCTCCCACTGGTAATACCACAACTGTTCAGAAAACATTGTCAACATTGCAGACTCGCTATTTTAATCTCAGCTGATCACTTTCACACATAGTACTGCACAACTTACGTTTCATAACCTTCAGAATGTCGCAAAGACAGCGCATGCGTCCATAATCAATAACTCAGGATGTAAACAGAAAGGCAAAAGTTGAAGTTTTTGTGCCCCACCAGGAGAATCCGATGTGTTACGTTTACGTCTCATCTGAAGATCCTCCGACGCTGTTTGTATAAACCGAGCGTTTCATAATGTGGACCGCGACACAAACTCTGTGCAGAGGTGAAGCATACTACGTGATACAACACACATACAATTCAATTCATGCAAACTGCGCAAAGCTGGCAGGAGTGTGATGTCAAACGCAGGGGGCGTGGCTACTGTGTCAGCTGCGCTCGGGAAATGCTGTTGGTCTCCGGGTTGCCATGTCCTGCCGTTGTACGCGTTATGGTCTTTACTGTCGCAGTCAGGGTAGTTTTCTGGGTCTTTCCATAGACTGGTTGTTTTTTCAAGTCATTCGCAGCCCCAGTGTTCAAATAGGCAGGGGTGGATTTAGTGATTTTGGCGCCCTAAGCAATTCCAGCCAAGGGGCCTAAAAGTTCTAAAATGCTAATTTTTTGTTTTTAAATTTTTCTTTTGTCATTCGAACTCGTTTTCTACATTTTATAGTTATGCAAAATAATAATAACACGTAAAGCTCCTTGTAAAACTTTTGAAACGATTTATTTTCTTAAGTTGAATTCACAACTTAACATAATAAATGAACTATTTCGTTTTTAAAACTAAATCCTTCTTGATGACTGCTAGACTGGTCTGTGATTGAAGGTGGGGACACATTTATGCAGATGTAATAAATTAATTATGTTCAAATTACAATTTTTAGACCCTCACATACAAAATATGATAGAAAACGATGTTGTATATAAATTGTAGTATCATACGTCTAGGTATTTATTTGGGGGCCCTGGCCCTTAGATTTCCTGGGGCCCTAAGCGGCCGCTTGCTTATTGGTTAAACCCGGCCCTGCAAGAGGATGCAGGTCTGTCTTGTGCTTTTGATTTAGCCAATAGACACACTTTAAATATAGTTTGTGTATTCCAAACCAACTAGTTGAAAAGTATGCAATCTTAGATGAAACCAAGAGATGGAAAGTGTGCATTAAAGAGATCCTCACCCTCAAGTCTTTCCCAATCTTTATGTTATCCTGTTAAACACAAAAGAAGATATTTTAAAGAATGTTAGAAACAGTTGCCAGGAACGGGCTAAATGCACACAGACTTTTAATTTCAGCCAGCCTCAGCGCTTCCAGTGAACTGTCTTTAAATTATCAATTTTCCACGTTTAGGGTCTGATTTCTATAAAAATTGGTCAACTTTACTGTCTGGATGGATATACGATTTAAAGTGGATACAAAAAGCATTAAATTCCATTTCCCCCGCTATGTCCTTAAAGTTTATTTTACTCCAGTGTTTTCAATGGAGTTTCTGCGCTAGTCTGCTGGACTGGTATACTGACAGCGCAAGCGGTTACACAGTCTTTCATCCCGTTATGCTTCAACAACTAAATATATGCTTAGTCTGTTTAACTGAATGTATTTTAACTTACAACATCAACAACATCAATGCTGTAAAAGGAACCTTATGAAATTGAAAAAATAATAGTCACATTAAGCTTTCACCGGAAGTTTATCAATGGCTGAATAACACTGAGCATATAGAGCCCCTTTACCATGAAAGTTACAATTTTAGAAACATTTTAATGCTCAATAGAAAAACTTAATAGATATTGGATGGCTTTAAAACATGTTAGGGCGAGTACAATATTCGTTTTAGGGCAATTAGATTAGATTTTAACTTTTAACTTAATACTGTCATTACACAGGTAAACGGCAACAAATAAATGCAGTTTTGGTCTAACCAGCACTGCAATAGCAGCAAGTACAGGATACAGGTATAAGTTATAAAGTGCAGTTATAGAAAATTGGTGATATTTACAGATGGATGAAACATGAACATTATTTACAGGTTGTATTAGCTATGAACAGAGATTTACATTAAATGAATCTATGTACAGGTTGCTATTAATAATCAGAAATGTGCAGATAGATAAACATATTTACAAATGTATACAGTGGGTGTGTACATAATTACAAATGTCCATGTGCAGGTATGTATGTACAGTTTAAATAATCAGTGCAATTGTAAAGCTATCCTTTAAGAATACTAAACATTTCTTTTTGTTTTCAGTGCTTTGGAGAAATGTTCACTAGCTTCCTGTTGAGAACATGTGTAAGTGGTCACTCAAGATCACAAGCACAAAATCTGCATACAGTCACAAGTGTATTATCAGTCAGATGCGTGTATCCCCTCGATCTGGCAACCCTTCCGGACATTTTATCAAACCAATGTATCTTGCCAACTTACACATCCAACATATCAGCTCCACACACACCCACACAAACTCACATTTATGCGCATTTCCAATTTTGCTATGTTTTATGAGTAATCTCCACAGCTTGTCGTTACATTAAATTATTTCGCATACAAACTTCAATTCCCATCATGCCTATCGGAGGATCATCACGACGACAACGATGCTCGAACATACAAAGCAGCAGGTAAACAAGTCTGGTCGAGCTGCTGTAGCGATGCACATGAACGCCAATTTCAACGCGTTTTGCTCACTGCAAGATGAGGATGGCTTCATAATCAAGATGCAAAGGTGATTATTGTCTTTTTCCAGATGTTAATGTTTAATTAAGTTGGTCGACGCTGCTTAATGGACAGCTCAAATATTTGTCAAAACTGGAATGTATATTGAGTGACGCTGTTATTTCTACAATGGTGCTGCTCATCCGCACAGTGCGTGCACGCGCCCACAAATGGGACATTTTGGGGCACAGCTGAGAGCTTTGCACACTTCATAGTGTTTAATGCGATGGGACCCATCCTGCAGGAACAAACTGCATCTGCGACACTGAGGAAGCTGTCAGGGAAGGAGAAGGTTAGAATGAAAAATGCAGAAAACACTGGAATTGTTGCCAGGTAAGTTTAAATAGAGCTTTTACTTAAACTTTATATAATATCTGTCACTAAAATGTGGGCTTTATTTGCAGCAATAACAATACGAGAGGAGGATGTGTGATCCAGAATAAGAAGACTCTCAAGAAAACAGTGCCCTTGCATTCAGGCCAAGACAAGGATCCTGTGCCCAAAACCGAAATTGTAAGTCATTTATGGGATATTAATATGTGTTGTGTGTGTTGACAGCAATTCAAATGTTTTTATTATTTTTTCTAAGGTCCAAAATGGCATTAAACCAAAGAAAGCAAAGAGTCCGACTGGTGGCACTTGCAAGTCGCGTGGGTGAGTGTTTCTGAACATATGGAACTTCATATGTAAATAACTATAAATAGTGTAACTTAAATGCACATTATTTATTCTCTGCAGAATGCTGTGTAACATTAGAGCTGGGCTTTGGCAAATATTTTACAAATCAGTTAGCTTGAGATTAGTAAACCTTTGATTTTGTTAATTGTTTTAATATATACGGTATTGTTAATGTCCATGTAAGGCTGGCCTCTTTTGCTAAAAATCTAAATCTTGATTAATTGGTCATTTTATCTCGATTACGACTAATAAACAATTTTTTTTGTCGTCATTGTTTACTGACAAGTTTTGTACAGTAAATATGCTCACTTATTACAAGTGAGAGATTTCTGAATTAACGGTACAATGCTTGATTTTGAAATGATTGAAGAAAACACACACTATCTACTATCTATGATTATTGAACATCAACGTTGAACAACTAAAGTTAAAAACACATATAACCCAAAACAATCTTTTCTTATAAAAAAGTGAAAATTAATAACTTGCACTTTTGTCAAAAATTCATATTAGGAGTAGAAAATAAGCAACATCCCTTCTAAATAAAATAACTCTTGTATATCCTGTAAATAATATTTTAAACAGTGTTTTTTTTTTGCATGGAAATGCAGTATGGAAAATGTTCAGGAATTTTATTGAAAAACAACAGGTGGCTGACTTGCCAAACTGACTCAAATTGTGTAAAATATCAGTTAATTTTTTTTTTATCATGTTGTATCCATGTAAATTTCTGTTTCCAAGAAGTTAGAAATAGACGTTTTCTTTTTGCCTCATAATTTGATGTTGCTGTCACTTCACTGAAGTGATTTTTACCAAGTTATCGCGAAAAGCAATATGGTGTTTACGACATCACCGAGAAGGTATTTCTAAAAGTCTTAAAAGCACAAACTGTTTCTCGATTATAAGGGTGCTTTTACACCTAGACTTTTGTTTCGGAACCTGTCTTGTTTGCCCAATTAGCACGGTTCGTTAGGCAAAAGTGAAACCACCAATCGCGCTTTGATCCGTGCCTAAACAATCGCTCCGAGAGTGCTTGAATGAGGTGGTCTCGGCTCGATTGAAACAAACTCTGGAGCGGATCGATTGTAGTGAAAAAGCGATATGATCCAAGCCCGGTTATATCACAGTGTATTATGGATATGTAATAGGCATACGGCTATATGAAGAGAGAATTATGAGCAGGGCGGAAGGTCATTCCAGACATCCCAAGTCTCCCAGAAGTTTCGTTAGTCTCCTGCAAATGCACAGAGACTCCCGGGTGCCCGCAAACAAGTGATAATCTCCCGGAAATCGCGCGTCTTCCTCCTGGTCCTCAAATACGTCGCACATCCTTCTCACCCCACCCCACCACATCCGTCCTCGCTCTTCAGACACGTCGCGCGCACCCTGTCAAACACCACCAAACAACCACCACCCGCTGACAGCTGAGTGGGACTGCAAAATAAACCGTGAATCTGACCAATGTGAGGAGAGTTAACTCGCACGTGACTTGTTTTAGCTCTTCTGGTCCGTTTAGAAACTTTGCTGTGTGAAAGCGAACCGCACCAAGAACAAAGCAACATTGTAACAATTTTAATCTGTTTCAGAACAACTGAATCGATTTACAGGTGTGAAAGCACTCTAAGACTGTATTTATATGTAATTGACAAATAGTCGCAGGCAAATTAAACTTTAGTGACAAGGCAGCACTGAATCAGTAATGATCCTGTCTACTGTCCTGAGCGTCTCGCACGGGCCATCGGGCAGTCCTTTTTGTTGAGCCCTGCATAAATATTGTAAGTCCAGAATGTTAAACTTTTTTTTATCCTTCATAATGGCTTTACTTGTATTTATTTCAAATGTCAACATAACATATGCATTAAACATTACAAGACAATAGTTTCATAGTTGTCCATTACACAAAACAAAAATAGTAAAGAAATATTTTGTTGAAATTAAAGGTTATGTTTATGTATGAACTTTTAATAGACCTTTAAGATGTAAATGCAATTTCCTCTCAAATCCTTAAATATTCTTACTCTCTTTAAACAAAATATCTAAAGTTATAATGATAACATGATAAATGACAGTTTAACTATTTTGATAAAATTATCAGAATTTGAAAGATGGCATTGTTTTATTTCAGATGTAAAAAAGCCAAATTAGAAAGCATACTGAGATTACTTCATGGCTGGCAGTATTTTCAGCCTAGCCCTAATAAATATAAAGCTAAAATATCTCACTTCCTCTATTCCTATAGCACACAGGTTGAATCAGACCTGAGGCCTCCACGTCCCAAACTCTCATGTCAAGAGCGTGGACAGGAGAAGCAGAAAATTCAGCTGGAGCCTCAGTCCTGTAGAGATATGGTACAGAGACACGTGACCTTGGAGAAGAGCCGCCGTGCTCTCTCACTGCCCTTGGCACCTCAGCCTATGCTGCAGCAGCTCACCCTCCAGAAGCGAGCCCCTGATCTGGAAGCACTTCGTCTCCTGGAGCACAAGGAGGATGACTCCGACAGCGCCAGTGACTTGTCCGACTCTGAGAGGCTTCCTGTCCTGCCTTCTCCCTGCACTCCTCCTCAGCTCAACCTCCGAGCCGAGGTGATCGACACTATGGACCTGCATCCCCACATTCCCGGACCCAGGACAGTGGACAACCGGGACATCGACTACAGCTATCCAGACTTCCTGCCACCTCCGTTCAATACCTGGAGCCTGAGGCAGCTTGCCATCTTTCTCAACACGGAGGGCAAGCGAGCTCCTCGGCCAAAACCCATAGGGCAGCTTGAGAAGTATTTAGAGCGCCTCCTTCAACTGGAGTGGCACCAGATACAAACAATTCAAGCTGAAAGCGGCCGCCATGTTGTGCCCATCATCCGAACAAGAGGTCAAGCCTCCAGTGTCCTAGCAAACAGCAACCAGCAAAGACCTCACACTGCGCCCCCGACGCGTCTTAGCTCTCCGAAAAGCTTTCGACAGGGTCAGCGTTCCTTCTTCTCTTCTTTGGGCAGCCCATCATCCAGCCAGGTTTCTCGTCTGGTTTGCCCTAACTGCCACATCCGCTACCCACTCTGCAATGGCACTTGCTGTTCCTCATATGCCTACCAGCGGCATTCCCGCCTCAGCCCCCTTTTAGAGCGCAAAGCCCCTCCAGCTAACACCCAAAAGAGGAGCAGCAGTGAAACCCGGGCCTCAACCTCCGAAAACCAGGCCACAAAGAAAAACCAGCATCTGGTCAGTCCTCAAGCAGCAAAGGCTCACCAGAACCACATGCAGGCTGCAGGTAACGTGCGCAGGGCATCTCAAGAATTTAACCCCAATGGCAAATCCCATTCTTCGTTCAGGAAAGGAAAGACTGGGAAGTCAAGCGAGGCAGAGAGACTGAAAGATTCACCCGGAGCCAAATGCGGAGAGGTTGATAAGCGGATTCCTGCTGCTTTGAAAAGGGACGGTTGTGGGCCAGGCAAGAAAGCACTTAAGGATGGTGCAAGAGCTGAAACCAGTGAAGTACGAGTAAGGTCTGGCAGTAAAAGAGCAGTGGCCGACGGCTCTAATGCAAAAGTGACATCAGCTACCAAGAGTACTGTCAAAGTGAAAAATACTCAGTACGCCAAGTAGAGTAGTTTGTGTCTATTTTCAGTTGCCTCAAAGACGTTTCCATTTTGCAAACTGTAAACAAAGAGCTAATTCAAACATTCTGATGTCCCTGTGGTTAAGTGTAGTTTTTAAAGGTACAGGAAGTTTTAGCAAAATTTCATCTGCAAAAAAATATCTATTTATTTTGCCCGTAGTAGGCATGGGGTGATAACCGTTTCAAGGTATACCTTGGTTTGGATGTCAAGGCTTTAAAACCACCAGCATTTTCTGCCATACTATTTCTTTTTTTATTTACAAATTGTAAAGAAATTTGTGTTTTAGAAACTAATGAAGACAGCAACGATTCATTTGAATTATTTAGCCTGACATGATTACAGTTCCAAAATATTCCATATTATTATTTTATTACATAAAATATATTGTGTTCAAAGTGGAAGAAAATTTAAAAACAAAATATTTTCGAGCTTTAATCGCAATACTGTGATATTTTTACCCAAGGTTATCATACTGTCCGAATCTTTTACCGGCCCATGCCTAGTCTATAGTGTAACGAAGTTGGAAGCAAAGCAGATAGATTTGACAGAAAAATATTTTTTTGCCTATGAAAATTTGCCAAACATTTTTGACTGTACCTTAAGGTGGGCATACACGGTGTCATTTCTGATGGCCTGAAGAGTTTCTTTTATGTGGAAATCATTCAGGTGCAATGCGATTTTTTTATAATCCTACAAATTCCGAAGCAATCGCATGAAACTGCACCAAAAACATGAATAGTGGAGAACACTGCTTTCATTGATTTTTCTCTCTATCATCTAACTAAACGCTTATTTCACTTGGCCGCCATTTTAAAACACGAAAGCGAGGCTGCGGTAGTAAGAAATCCAGAAGTACTTTATAGGTTCAGCACTGTAAACATTGCCATGATTTCAAAGTGCAGATGTGATGTAAACATCACTTTAACTTAATTCAGTTAAGTTTCATTTAAACAATTAAAAGGTATTAGGCATCAAACAAAATCACTATCTCTTTAAGAGTAATAAGCTTAAGTGTCCTCCTGGGCTTCAGTTCATGGCACCAGGTAAACACTGTGGACACGCTTTCCTGCTTCAGCCTATGTAAGCCGGTGAGTGATAAAACAATGCAGTCCGCTGTAGCACACCCTCATGTTGTCTGTAATGGTGTTATCCTGGTACTGAAGTTTTAAAAATGGACATTTCCCTCTAACATTTAAGTGCTGCTGAATGCACTCTTAAACACAGCTGATTTGCCATAGTATTCACCAGTGCTCAACAGAAATGACTGTGATTGACAGTGAAGGTCATTAGTTCACCGCTCTTCACTAACACTTGAGCATTTTAAAGCCGCAACGATCAATCGATTCATTAGCAGATTGCTCATCTGTGCTTGCACTCGGTAAACATCGGTGAAGTGCAGTGAACTGACAAACTTCAAGACCAATCGCAATCATTTCTGGTAAGCAACGGTGAATCAAATCAGTGCTGTTTAATAATAAGCTCAACAGTGCTTAAATGAAAGGGGGAAATTGAGACTTTTTTATATATATATATTTCAGTACAGAAATTCAGTATTGCGACAAGTCTAATATAGTGAAAGAATCAGTTCATTAACTTGAGTTTGATAAATGGCATCTAAAACGTGTGTTCAGGAAAGGAAACATTAGCTAACTAGTGCCATTTCACTTAACTTTGCTGAAAATGTGGTCTGACATCCCTTTTTATTTTTATTATCCATTCAGAACGGACCTTTGGGTCACCCGGACAGCGGTGAAATTATAAATTTGTGTCGCTTTCTCTTTGCTGGTACTATATACAGTCAGGTACACAACATTCCTGTGTGACTCAGGAGATACTTATGGGTTTCTTCTCACCGCAGCCTCGATTTGCTTTTGAAATGGCGGCAGCGTAAAATCAGTCTATTGATACGAGCTGTGAATGTACGCAAACATACCTGTTTACCTGGTCTCACCCCGTGTGTGAATTATAACCTTGTCCACTGTAAACTTTCATCTCTGAAGACTCCGTAAGGCATGACACATCATACATTGATCAACTTGAGATAGATCGACAGCTCCACTCGTTTAATTGCGCAACCTCATAAATTCAAATCAACAACTTTTTTGGCATGCTTAAAAATTGTCAGGAGCTCATAAACTGTTTGGATCGACTTGTAAGTTCTTCTCACGTGGTTTAAGCCACGATTATACAACCATCAATGACTACTTCCGTTAGGAAATAAAAAAAAAATGCATACAACCTTTACCATAGCAAAAATCACACTGTGTATGTCCCCCTGTAAAGGGGCTATATGTACAATTCATGAATCATTAGCGACACCAGTGGCCATTAGGTGAACTGCAACCAGCAACTTACTGCTTGTGCTTGAAATCGCACACACGTAACGCATAAGAGAACATGATTTAATGCACCGATATACATGCTGCAGAGTTCTATGCTTCTAAATAAAGTAGGATATTAACATCTACATGAAATCAACCTAGCTGAAAACCTTGCCTGTTTTACTCTTAATAACAATATAAACGCACAATAGAAATAGAAACCTGCAGTTATTCAGAGAGATGTGGAAGTAGTTGCACAATTTTTGCAGTTTTGTCGCATCATATCAACAAGTGATTCACTATAATCCTATCTAACATTAATGTGTCTCAAAAAGGCTCTTCTTTACGCAACCCTGAGTATCAAGTGAAAGGTCTTGTATTTAATTAAGTTTAACTGCAACAAGCTGTTCAAACATCAGCAATACAAAAGCAACTGTAACCAAAATTAATACATATAGCCCCTTTAGTACAATATCCTCTTTAGAAGTCATGCCTAGTCGTTGCTATTGTTTCAGTTTAACTAATCAATAAGACATATTTATTTTATCTAAGTACATAAAAGCAGGTTATCTTTACTTACCGTACGCACAAATCTTCTATACAATGAACTTAATATACTTAAATCCAGTGTGCATGTACGTATCTCTTACTAGCGGGAGGTATGGCTGAGAATGTCTGTGTGTGGCGTTTTTGTCTAGTAAGCACTATTGGTCAAAGAATGTATATTTTTGAGACAAATAATGATTGTTTTGTAACGAGTGTGTATTTTTGTAAAGTGCTATATACAAGGACTGCTTTTCTTTTGGTTGTTTATCCATTCATTAGATTTAAGTTTAAATATGAATGTTTTGTGTAAAGCGTTGCTTATCTTTGAATGTTTTGGAAGACATTTCTTAGGTTTTCGGTGATTGTTTAACTGTGACGTTGTTAAGATTGCTTATGGTGGTTTATGGTTGGGGCTTTGTTTTGATGGACCTGAGTTATAAGCTATGTTTGTTTACTTATTGAGAACTTTTCAGGTGAATTTTCAGGTTTTCATGTATTTAAACTAAGCATGTTTTGTTTATTTTTGTTGGAACAAAAATGGTAGTGGTTTTGTTTTTTTTTTTAATGCATTGTCACTTGAATATGAGTTGAAAGTTGGTACAGGTTGCAGCCATACAGTATGGGCTACATTATTTTCCATACTTGATATACTGTTGGTAGAGCCATTTCAATAGGATTTAATGTAATATGTGACATTCACTTATCAGGCAAAAAACATGCAAAAAAATATACATTTTGTCCTATCATCGTCAGATTGTGCTTTATTTTGCTGAGAGTTTTGAACGCAGCTATTTTTATGAGAGCTAAATAATAAACAGTTTTCATTACATCATCAGAGCCCTTGTCTACAGTATTTATTTATGTGCTAGTAATTAAATATGCAAAAATTATCATCATAAATCAAAAACAATGCAATTTTGAGTTTGTGAATGATATCTTTTGGGTATTTAAATATGTACGCTCCTCTGACTCCTCATAATACAACAATTTTTGGAATTAATGGGAATGTCAAGCATAGTTTTTCACACTGATTTGATGCCGTAGGAATATTGTCATGTTTTCTTCTGTCCTGGGAAAGGCTTTAGAAGCTGTTGAAGCTGCTTCTCTCGATCATTCACACAGCCTGTGTAAATACAAACAAGGAAAAAGCATTTACTTATTAAAAGGGTAGTTAGAAAACAAACAGGTTTGCTCTTAAAGGGATACTTTTTAAAATTGTAGAAGTCAAAATATGTATTCACCCTCAAGTGGTTATAAATCTTTAATTTTATTATTTTTTAATTTTATTATTTTTATTATTTATTTTCCTTCACTGAAAACAAAAGAAGATATTTTGGAGAAAGCTGAAAACCTGTAACCATCGACTTCCATAGTAGGAAAAACAATAACTATGAAAGTTACAGGTTTCCAGCTCAAAATAACTTTATTTGTGTTCAAAAAAACAATGAAAGGGAGAGTAAATGATGATAGAATTTTAATTTATGCGTAAACTATTAGTTTAATGACTATGTAGATGATTTTGTGTGAATTGTGCCTTTAAGAATGGCATTGCAAGCAAAATGAACTTCTACTAAATCTATTATTTATTATTGATTTAGAAGAACTAAGAGCTGTACTATGTGTGAAAACTTTCTTGCTAATAAGCAGTTTGTCTAATTGCTTTCATTTATTGTCAAACAAATGTTACACAGGAAAAAAAAAGTCACGTTTTAACCTCAGGGTGAGTAGTTTAAGTTAGTTTATATTTTTTGTGTTATCTAGCCATATGTCCTCTTATTTATTTAAAACTTATTTGAAACAATAGATTTGTAAAGTTCCATGCATAATAAAGATATACTTCACATTGAACTGGGTGCTATTCAAAAATTCCTAGTCACCTTAACAAAAAATTTGTTGCTGTTGTCAGTATGGTATTGTCAGGCATGACACACGTTGACTTCGAAGCAGTTTTAAATAGGAAAAGACACTAAGTTTGCAAGTTAAATGTTTAATAAATTTTTATCAAAGTCTAATACACATACTTTAAAACAAACCAAAAAATAAAAATAAAAAAAATATCCAGTGTATCTTGAAGTACACTACCTAATAAAAATATTGTCGCCTATCGAAGATTTAAGAATAATAAATAATAACTTGACCTCTAGTTGATCATTTGTCATCAGAAGTGGCTTATATGAAAGGCAAAGGCCTTCAGATTACACTTATTTTTTAAAAATAAAATATGATCATGCCTTTATTTTTAATTATTTAATTAGGACAGTATGTGTCTGATTTTGCTTAGACTAAAGTCATGTCATAAAACAGAAATAATGTACAGTATAGAATATAAAGTCATGGTTCAGTAGTAAAAGAATTAATTTTGTGTATGACTCTCATGAGCTTGGACAATTGCATCCATACATCTCTGCAAGTCAGTCAGCTGGAATGGCAAAACTCCAGCAGGACTCCCAGAGTTCATCAAAATTCTTTGGATTCATCTTCAATGCCTCCTTCTTCATCTTACACCAGACATGCTCAATAGTGTTCAGTTCTGGTGACTGGGCTGGCCAATACTAGAGCACCTTGAAATTATTTGCTTTCAGAAACTTTGATGTGGAGGCTGACGTACGAGAAGGAGCACTATCCTGCTGAATAATTTGCCCCCACCTGTGGTTTGTAATGTAATGGGCAGCACTAATGTGCTGTTATACCTCAAGCTGTTGATGTTGCTATCCACTCTTTAGATCTCTTGCACGACCCCATACTAGTCTTCTGCAGTATTTGTGATGATTGGGATGCAGTTCGACAGATGATTCCAAATGATCAACTAGAAGATCAACTTGCTCTTACAACTGGGATAGACGACAAGACTTTTGTCAGGTAGTGTATGTTCATGCCATATTAAGTAATTACAAAAAAACTGCAGGAACTTTCTGAAAGCTCTGAAATGTACATCATGACAATTGAACCACCTGATTTATTTAGGTACTGTTAAGCTAAGGTGTTGCCAAAGTAAAGAACTAACATCAGTCTGAGAACATAAACAAATTCAAGAACATCAAGGGAGTGATCTCAAAATGACAGTGGAAATGCGTAAAGTTTACAATACACAATTTTGAGCTTTTACATAGTTGTTCCTATTCTTCGAACTGAGTTTAAAGACCTTCTAACAAAGACCTTCTTTTTTTTTTCTTGAATTCTGAGATTAAAAGTCAGATGTTAACTTGTTAAACTAAAAATTTACATATTTTGCTTTGAGAATTATCATGTTTTTTTTTTCTTCTTGTGACCTTTTCTTTCTTAATTTTTAGGAATAATCGCAAAATATTGTAAAATATAAACATTCACAATGTGAAAGACAGCATTTGCTAACACTTTAATTTAGGTCACAATTCATGGTATTGGTACAAACCATTAATTAACACTAGCTTAATAAACTACATATTAGCTGTTTATTAATAGTTAGGTAGAAGTTGGGTTTAGGTTTTAGGTAGGATTATGGATGCAGAATCAGAACTAATAATGCACAGTTATTATATTAATAATACGCATGTAATAAGCCAGCAGTTAATACAATGAATTGTATTTTATGGTATTTTTACCATAATTAAAACACAAAATGTTCTTAAGATGGCCAGCAAAATTTCATTATCATTTGGTCAAAGTGATGTGTCACTGACTGAATGAACTACAGTATATACTGTAGACCAAATCTCTAATGATGCCACAAAAAAAAAAAACACTGACCAAGGTGTGTGTTTGCCACGAGGCAAGAGCTGCCGAGAGCCTCTAGACCAACATCCGTGTAGACAGGACCGTCGTTCCACATTAGGTCAAATCCGCCAATCCTCTTCTCCTTGCCCGTCAGGCTAAATGCAATAGAATGTTTTGGACAACAATGTCAGCATGTGCAATCCTCCACTCTCCTGTGTGAAATTTGAAATCACTTTGTCAAATTGTACCGGCCCTCCATGTCAACAATGTGCAAGGTGTCCTCCAGAAGTCTGTATTTTAGGTCATAGTCTTCCTGACTGCTGGCTGTGAGGGAGGGCGAAGCGTTCACTTCAATTAGCCACCTGCATGATGACAAGCTGTGCTGTCATTTTAGAAGTAATTAGGGCAGGAATAGTGTGTTATGGAAGCCCATTTAATACATGGGATTGAAATATAAAACATGTAATTGCAACTTTTTACCTCCCTATTTTTCATTCTTCATAATTAACAAATCTAGTGTAAAAATAATTAGAACTCTATGATATCAACTAAAAAGTACGATTTTTATTCTTGCCATTCACAGAAAAAAACACACTCGCAAGATAAACACCGTATGGAGTTCTGCCCATTTTATTCACCACAATTCTGAGCTTAAATCTTACTTTGTTTTACCCTAATTTACCTTGAGTTACATTTTTGCAATTCTTTTCACCATTTTGAATATAATTTTCTCTCAAAGTCTTGAAAAAAGTAAAATTTTTATTATATATTTAAAATTGAGGACAACACATACACTCAATACACTTCAATAAACATATAAACATAGACATCACCCAGGGTGCGAAATATACAATGATGATCGGAGTGGGTCAACTTTTTTTAGTTAGTTTTTATGAAACATTCTTTAGTGAATTAAATGTATGTATGTATTTAAATTACATCTAATTTATTAATAAAATGTATTTAAGTTTTTAGAGTTTTGTGGATATTTTGTGTATTCTGACATACAGTATCCGATTAGCTACGTCTAAGGTTACGTTGTCCACCGGTGCTCTGGATCTGCTGGTTTCATGCTGTAGAATGAGTTGTATTATCTTGCAGACTGATTGGCGCAATTATGCATTTACAGTGGAATGAACTACTATAGGGATGGTCAAATGTATATTTATAGTATTAATTAGATTATATTCATTTATACTCATTTTTCTGATCATTTTAATCATTAACATTATTATTTAAAATACAAAGCAGAGCAAATATTTCTCAGTATTATAGAGCTGACCCCCCTATACATGTTGTTTTTAAATCCTTCAGGGGGATCAAGCGTTAATTACCTTGTACTTCGCACCATGACATTACCTATATACAATAAAATTGCAGGCTAACTACTGTGTGTCTGTATTTAATAACTTATATTTGATAGTAACTTTAAATTAATTTGATTGTGATTCAATAATGTGCAAAATAATGTGCTATGCAAACAAACCTGAGTGGGCGAAAATTATGAATCCAGAATTGATTTTTTTTAGCATTTTAAGTCTTACAATTCTATTTTATTTTAGAATTGCAACTTGATTTTTTTGCTGGCTTTCTCAGAGTTTTTAGTTTCTTCCAGAATTTAGATTTCTTAAGTCAGAACTGAAATTATTTGCGTTGACAATTTATTTTAACCACTCAAATTTATTCAGTTTAAACATAGTACTCAACTTTTATCATTTATTTCTTGTAATTGCAAGTTTGAGAAAAAAAATTCAAAATTGCAGTATTTCTACAAACAACATTTTTTCACCTTTGTTTATCTGACAATTCTGAAAAAAAAGTCATGAACTGAAAAAATAAATTCTGAGGTTTGAGAGAGAAAGTTTCTTTCTAAATAGTTGCATATATTTTTTCAGCTTCTATTCGTAGACTTTTTGAAGGGTTTAGATGAGATGCTCAAACTAGGGCCATAGTTGGCCCACGGTAACCTTTGATTAGGCCTACCATCCCATCTGAGAATGATGGGGATGGTTTGAAATTGTTCATTCAAATTTAATGCAACCCTTTGTTTGTATGTTTTATTGTTACAAACTAATTAAAATTAAATGTTTCAATTAAATGTTGTAAATTATTCTCATTTTGTTTAAATGTGCATGATGTCACATGGCAATGCAGACACTTTAGTTAGCAAATCGAGTCAAAGCCAAATTCTGCATGACTAGTGTATTTAGCATTGAACTTCACTGTGTTATACATAAGATTGTTTTTATTGCAATAAGTTATAATTTAAAAAGTTATATTACATTAATACAATTAAAATAATCATTAATACTACTAATAATAATAATACAAATAAAAAAATCAATACAATTTAAAGTAATGTTTAATTTATTTTGAAATGCCATGGCAACTTTAATGTAATATATATTTACCTTTGGCCCATGGCTCTCAATGATATTTGGTTTATGGCCCTTCATATGAAAAATTTTAGGCACCCCTGGTTTAGACATTCTTGCAATTTTGATTTTTTTTTCATGCTTTCACATTCATATATGTTTAAAAATAAAAATGCAAAATACAAATTCACATAATTGTGAGATATAAAATTAAAACTCGGACACAATTTTACATCTAGCATTTCTGAGCTAGTATCTCACAGCTTTGTTTTCCTTAAAATGCTCATTTATATCTTGGAGTTGTGAGATGAGGTGTGCACACAATTCTGAATTTATTCTGAATTCTGATTCTCACTGCTGTTTTTTTTTCAGAGCTGCAAGACAAACTAGCAATTGTGGGATACAAACTTCTAAATCTAGTATAAAGTTAAAATTTTGAGATAAGTTGTGATTAGCATTTAAATTTTTTTTATTCCATGGTGGAAACAAAATATCTTCCTAACAAGCTAAGCAATAAAAAAAGCATTCTCACGGCTTTAAGTCCTGGTCCAGCAGAATGTCATATCCGTACAGCTCAAAGCAGTGTTTGTCATTGATGATGGTCTTCTGCACACTAAGCAGGCTGCGAATAAATACGTTGTCAATTTCTTTAAAGAGAGTCTGCACTGTTTCGAAACCATGCTTAGCAGTCAGATACCACCGTAGCTGTTGCATCTGCCACTTACAGCCCTAAAAGAGAGAGGAAGTCGAATGTTTAAATATCTTTTTTTAATCATTTAACTGAACATTATAGCATGTCCAACACACCTTCTCAGGATCATAATCAGGAGCTGTCTTTTGCACTGCAACATTGGTGAGATGAACATCTGAGCACATTATTGTTAAATGGGATAAATCAGAGAATTGTTCATGTTTGTTCCTGTACTGTTGCATGCAATTCAGCAATGCATTCAAAGGATACATTGATCATCTATGCTGCTGAGAGAGAACCTGGTGTTGGAAAATCGGGCAAAACCATCACGATAAAGCCAGGCTTTCAGTGGAATATACTGACAAAATAAAATGATGTTGTTTATATTACCTATACTGTAGTGAAAAATTATAAGATAAACCAACAAAATATTTTTTAAACAAGTTAAAATCATGAGGTGAATGCACTTTAATTTATGGGTAATTTTGCGTATAATAATGACACTTTCTAACAGTGTTCCTATAAAAAAATATAGAAATATATATTATATATATATTTATATACAGTGGTGTGAAAAAAAAGTGTTTGCCCCGTAACTTTTTACATTTTTTTTGCATGATTTATTTAATTTTTGCATGTTTGTCATACGTTTCAGATTCATTCATTCATTTTCTTTTCGGCTTAGTCCCTTTACACACTCATTCATACACATACACTACGAACAATTTAGCATACTAAATTCACCTATAGCGCACATCTTTGGATTGTGGGAGAAACCTACGCAAACACAGGGAGAACATGCAGACTCCACACAGAAATTCTTGCTGTGAGGCAATTGTGCTACCCACTGCCCCACCGTATTGCCCACATGTTTCAGATAATCAACCTACTGTACTAGTATAATAATAATACTAGTCAATATATAATGTAATACTAGTCAAAGACAAAACTAAAAAAGCTACATAGCCCCTAAATCCTGACCTAAATCCAATTGAGAAGCTGTGGAATGACTTTAAAATAGCATTTCCCTCCAATGTGGCTGAATTGCAACAATTCTGCAAAGATGAGAAAAGGAATTTTTTTTCGAAAAAGCAGTTTGGATTGCAGTTGTTGCAGCTAATGATGGCCCAATCAGTTATAAAGTTTAGCGGGCAAACACTTTTTCACACAGGGTTATGTTATTTTGTATTTTGTTTTCTCTTAATAATGAACACCTTCATTCAAAACTGTGTGTGTGTGTGTGTGTGTGTGTGTGTGTGTGTGTGTGTGTGTGTGTGTGTGTGTGTGTGTTTGTGTGTGTGTGTGTGTGTGTATGTAAAAATTCAATAAAAAAAAAAACTTACTGATGTTACAAGAACGTAGACTCTCAAATCAAATTTTCTCCCTGGTGATAGAGACAAAGTGTGATTTATTAAAGGTATTGTTCACTAAAATAAAAAAGAACTTTCCGTTCTCCATTTACTCACACTCATGTGGTTCTAAACTTTTATGAAATACTTTTTTTCTATTGAGCTCAAAACTAGAAAATCAAAAGAATGTTGCAAAAAAAAAAAAGTGGAGGATGAGTAGAAGATGAGAGAATTTTTCTTTTCGGAATAAATTATCACTAAAATACGTTTCATACAAATAAAGAAATCAAGTACTAAAGCGAAAAGTCTTAGATGTACCAGCTATAAGGTAGGGATTCTCAATGTAACGTTGAGCGACGTAGCTCTCAACTTGAGCCTCATCTTTCTGTTCTTCAGAGCGACTCCCATCCTGAAAGCATCAAGGTACATAATGGCAGAATTACATTTTTAAAAGTTTAAAAGACAAAATTCATAAACCAGGTACATTGCTGACATGAGTAATAAACTCTTGGAAAAAATACTTTCCCTTCTCTGCTTAAAAGTAAAAAGTAACAAATGGTTTTGGACCAATATATAGATAAAGAACATCCAAACATTTTGGAAAATATGAGTCCAGAGTTCCTAAATTCTTCCTTTTTCTTTGGAGAACACATTGACAGATAGAGTACAACATAAAATACTTTTGTTGTTATACTGAACATTATAATCATTAATTTGATGTCATAGAACTAAAGAGAGACGTTTGGAAGTGCACATAAAATGTCCTTAAAAATGTGTTACAAACTAGAAACGTCTTGTTTTTTAAAAAAAAAATTACATCACAAGCAGGGGGGGATCTTAAAAAATTGCTGTTACAACATAAAGCTTAAAGAGGTTTAAATGAGGGGTTTAAATGAGAGGTTTGATATTCGTCCTTTTCTTTAATGTATAATTAGTTGTTTGGGTAAAGGTTTTTTGGCCATATTTTGTTGCATTTCTTTGTCACATTTTGTTATGTTTTTCTTTATTTGTGATGTATTATTCTGATTTGTTTTTGTATTTTCGTTTTAAATATGTAATTTGTGTAATTTACTAATATGTATTTTTCTATTTTTGGTTGTGAGATAATATATGAGATCATGTGATCTGGAAGTGAATAAAAAGAGCAAGATGCTGTGATAAATACTGCCTGATCAAGAGCCGGTGAACTCGAAACGTTATATGCTTTGTTATCCTTTTTATTTTGATAATATTGTATTTTTTGGAGCTTTGGTACTGGCGCCTTTTTGAGTATAGTTCACCCAAAACAAACAAAGAAACTGTCATCATTTACTCAATCCTCAATTCTAATAAAAAAAGTTGAAAACCAGTAACCATTGACTTCCATGGTATTTGTTTTTCATACTGTGGAGGTCAGTGGTTACTGGTGTTCAACAGAAAAACCAATAAAGGTTTGAAACCTCTTGAAAGCGAGAAAAAAGTGAATAGATTTTTATTATGCCTTTAACTTTTAAATCCTTACTGTACGTATAGCTGTTTTAAGATTCAGTTTTTCAAATATGCATTACCTTCCTCCAATCTATGATATCCTTGAGTTTTCGAAACAGAAAAATTCCTTTCCCTTGTGATCGAGCCACCTGTGTTGAGAAGGTATTGCAGGGTTTATTAGTGTAATTTACCAATGAATGACCTGTTTACCAAAAAAAGTCAACAATGTAACTGGATTTGATGTCAATTTATTACCTTGATGACAAAGTGACATCAAATTCATTTGCCGGCTGACGGCTCACCTCCGTGTGGAGGGCTTTTCCCTCTGTAACCAGTCTGTCCGCTTATCCAACAGCGTTACGTCGGCGGAGCGGAGGCCTGGAGGAGGAGGAGCCGGCCACGGGGACGACCGGGATCGAGTCCGGGGAAGAGCGGTTTCAGAAATCAGGTAAGATGAAAAACAGAATCCCAAAAATAAGGGCGAGAACGCGGCGAGATCCGAAAACGCGGTCGAAATCAAAGACGAGGGCTTTTGCTTTTTGTTTTTTCTGGACGGCTTTTGCAAATCGTCGCTTGGGTTTAGGGAAGGAGGAGGAGGAGGAAGAGGAGGGCGGCCGGGTCGGCCGATTGGCCGGCCGCCCGGTCGATCTTTCAGCCAGTCAGTCGGATGTACGGTCTCCCACAGCGGCCTCCTGCGGCTTTTCATGCGAGAACAGCGCGGGCGCGAATGGAGCGCGCTCCCGAGTATCCGCGTAAACAAAAACTGCTCGAATACGTACCTCCCAGGACGTATTTCGCGGTCTGCAGAAATGTCCGCGGGGCTACGTTTCCACAATGAGCCCAAGTTGAAACCCAGTGTATATCCAACCCAGGCTCATTCTGATTATGTACCCCTATATACATTTCTGGAGTGCGCTAAATACGTCCCAGGAGCTACGTTTTTTTTGCAGTTTTTGTTTTCGGAAATCCACCAGAGGCCGCTGTAAATGCTTTTCGAGATCTCAAAATTCTCTCGTGTTTTATTTGCACCTGCTCCTCACATGTAAATCCACCAGAGGCCACTGTGTAATCTTTTTAAAAACTGAAATTTCTTTTGCGTGCTTCATTCGTGCCTGCTCTTCTTGCGTAAATCCACTAAAGGCTGATGTCAACTGATTGGCTGATCATCACACCAACGCCCTACCGACTCACTTCTCTACACCCAACCAATAGTGTTTTAAAAAGGATAGATTGACCAGCGCCCACCCACTTTCCTAAACCCAACCGACATTGTTTTGAAAAGCAATCCAGAAAAAGAAAAGCCCTCGTGGCAGCCTGATTTTTACCACACTTTCAGATTTTACCACATTCTCACCCTGTACCACATTCTCACCCTTATTTCCTTGTTTGTTTTATTTTTTGGCCTTTGTTTTTGTCTTAACTGCTTTCTGGAACCTTTTCCGAACCCGTCATGGTCAACTCCTTTCTGCGTTTCAAATTCTCAGACGTACGCAACGAGCCACTGGACAAACGTAACAGCAGAAAATCCGTTCACACAGAGGTAAGCGGTCAGCTGGTAAGTGCAAAAAGGAACGACACCCTTTGTAGCAATCATTTTAAACACGAAATGTAGCCATATGTTCCTCTGGGCTACATAATTGATCCTTAGCTATGCCCTGCCCTCCTTAGTTACTGTTGCTACGCCTGTCAAGCTTTCGTGCCTTGTCAGCTTTTGCAATGTGTATGCGCCGGTGTCAGACATTGCCAGGGATATAATGTCATTTTTGGCAAACAGGTAAGACATCTGAGAAAGCCAGACAAAAAAGGACTGCAGTATGCATTACAGGGGTATATTAACGACATAATAGGCAACCGATTAGAGAATAATTAAATCAAAATTGAAGCTAGCTTAGCCTAGCCGCATACACTGACCATTCAGCAGCTTAGCTCATGCTCAGCAGGAGGTGACATTTAAAAATAATCTAATAATAACAAATTAAACCGTAATTTCTCTATTTTTAGTCAAAAAGCCTGTTTGATTAATTGTTGTACAATGAAATATAGCATTACTAACCAACAAGGAAACATACATGGACAGTGCTTCTACATAATTAATTCATAGAAAGAGCAGCCAGAAAGTTGAAACTGATGGATTTGTGCCGAATATTAGCATCATTGATCCATAACAATGTACAGTAAGTTACCTATTACTGTCAGTATGTTTGTGTGCTCTTTATAAAGTAATGAAAAACAGCTGCTGGTAAAGTATTGATCACAAATGTTCAGTTTGTGATCATATCTACAGTAGGTTCTGTTCTGTTGATTTGTAATTTAAAATATTCATAGCTTGAAATAGATGAAAATTTGAAGTTCAGTAAAGTTAGCAACATATTCGCAAATTTGCATTTGCCGGATCAATAACTCATGTCATTATGACCTTTTCACTATTAGTATTACTATGTCGAAGGCTTAAAAGGAGCAGTGCTCATATTATCGAGCAAAAAAAAAAGAAAAGGACAGCTGTGAAAGATAACCTGCTTTGTATTTTTGTAGAAAACAAAGTTTAGATCTGTTTAGGGTAAGAGGTGTGAGTTATTGCCATCTATCACTGAATGTGTCAGGAATATCAAATGAAAACCAATTTAGTTCGCTTCTTTAGCGCCCCTCACAGAGCTTGATCCATGCTGGCATGTCTCCTCTTGGGTTTTTGGTTCTGAAAAGGAAAAAAATTCCACCATTTCGTCCAAACTGTAAGGATACTGGGTATCAGATTTGCACAATCCGTATGCACTCGCTCGAAAGCTTGACAGAGCCCCTGTGCGTAGCTACAGTTGCTAAGCCATGATTGGTGGGTGGCGGTTTTTGGGTGTGGTTTAGCGAAGAGTCAATTCGTGATCTCCACAAATGTATGCAGTTGAAGTCAGAATTATTAGCCCCCCAGAATTACTAGCCCGCTGTTTAATTTTCCCCCCAATTTCTGTTTAATGGAGAGATTTTTCTAAACACATATCTAAACATAATAGTTTTAATAACTAATTTCTGATTTATTTTATCTTTGCCATGATGACAGTAAATAATATTTTATTATATATTTTTCAAGACACTTCTATACAGCTAAAATGTACATTTAAAGGCTTAACTACTGTAGGTTAATTAGGTTAACTAGGCAGGTTGGGGTAATTAGGAAAGTTATTGTATAACGATGGTTTGTTATGTAGACTATTGAAAAAAAATAGCTTAAAGGAGCTAATAGTTTTGACTTTAAAATGTTTTTTTTTTTTTAATAAAAACTGCTTTTATTCTAGCCGAAATAAAACAAATAAGACTTTCTCCAGAAGAAAAATATTATCAAACATACTGTAAAAATTTCTTTGCTCAAAACACCGTTTGAGAAATATTTAAAAAAAAGAAAAAAATTCAAAGGGGGGCTAATAATTCTGAATTCAACAGTATATGGCTACGTTTTCAGAATGAGTCTATGTTGTGTATATCTAATTGAATATTTCAGATAACTAAAACTTTTAGTTGTTTCTTTTAAAATTATTTTGGTGGTTAAATGGGCATCAATGAGTGGAGGTCTAATAGACGTCAAGGTTTTGAAATCAAATCAACATGTTTTTGACATTATTTGATGTCATTTTTTCAATTTGTACACTAAAATAAACACTTACAGGCTTCATGATCCAGGTGTTCCCCGGGCTTTTCTTAAACTCCTCCACAAAGATGTGATACTCACTAGGCAACTCAAACGTACGCGGAAAAAAGTCACATTTGGCTGCTTCCAAACGCCCAACCTCCCGCTCTAATGTTTTTCTATACCGCTTCAAGTTCTTCACCATCAGGTTCTTACGGGTCAACTGAAAAAAATACGCATTTCAAGATTACTTTCCTCCATCACTGCTCTTGCAATCTGCATTTCAGAGAGTAATACAGACCTCGTAGTGGTTGCGGAAGTGACATATCCGTACATGTTCTTCCATGTATGAGTGATCAAAGTTCTCTCTCAGCCATCCAACATCACACCAGTTGAAGTCCCATTCGGCATCACTGTGTGGAGGGACATGAATGATTGATGAAGATGAAATGAAGCATATGAGAAAAAGCACAGAACTTACTCTTTCACTTCCACCCAGCCTGGTCTGTGGTTAAGGACGTCCTGTATGGTATTGGTCAGGCCACATCTGTACCGTATACAGCTCCTTGCCTCCCTGAGAAGAAAAATGCATCAAACTATGCACATACAGTGCATACAACACTTTTAACACTCTTTTAAAAAATGCTGTTTATTTACATTGCCATTCAAAAGTTTGGAGTCAATTATACGTTTTATTAAAGTCTGGATAACACTTTAGTTTAATTACCGATTCTCACTATAACCTAGTGGTTATTACCTGCTGTTATTATGACAATAGCTGTTTATTAGTAGTGTAAAGTACATGTTCTGCACAAAAATCTTATTCTACATACCTAATCCCTACACCTAATGAGAAATAAAGCAAATTAGAAGTTTAAGTAATGCTTTAAAATAACTACACACTATAAATAGTTAAAGCATAATCAGTTTTCACTTTAGATTAGGTCATAAAACTGCATGAATTTTTGTTAATAAAGCATTTATTAACATACAGACCTAATGATTACTACATGCCTGAAATAATACGTATAAATGTTTAGTTTACTAATTGTTTACCTACTTGTTCTAAATAATCATAAAAACCACCCACTACTCGTAATTAATGCAATACTTAATCATAAATTAGTCATTAACAAAGTATGAATATACAATGCTTATAAATAAACGACACACCATACAGCTCTATTTAAAAACTGCTAAATAATGTCTATTAATCAGTGGTGGAAAAAGACTGAAAAATCATACTCAAATAAAAGTACCATTACTTGCCAAAAAAATGTAGTCAAAGTAGAATAAAAGTACAGGTATCTGTTGTAAATATTACTCAAAATAGGAGTAAAAAGTAGCCCTTTTAAAAGTACTTAAGAGTAGAAAGTAGTTTTACGGTGGAAAAAGGTTGATGTGTTTATATGTAATTTGTGCGTGTGTATTACATTCTGTAGTGCATTTAGTTATTGTATAAGGCAATTTCAGTCATAATTTGCCATCTTTTTATCAGCGACATGCAATTTCTCTGGGTCATTGCATGTAAAGTAGGGGTGCACCAAAATTTAATCTTGGAGGGCAGGTGTTCTGCAGATTTTAACTCCAATTACAATTTAACAATTCAAAACTAACTAATCAAGCTTTTACAAGGTATTCTATAAAGCTTCTGGCAAGTGTACTGAAGTAAGCTGTAGGACATTGGCCCTCCAGGACCACTGGTGTAAAGTATCTTCTTGGACACTTTTAATGCTTCCAAACAGTTTGCTGCCTGTTTTAAGGCAGTTCAGTATGATGCAATTTACTTTCTATGTGCGATTTGATTGGATGCGCAAGACTTATTTTTGTAATCTCCACAGACTGGAAATTATAAAGTAGTGACTGCAAGTTGAAGGAAAGTTGTGGAGTAAAAATACCAATACTCCACTAAACATGTACTAAAGAGAAAGTAAAAGTAATTTTTTTTTCAAACTACTTAGTAAACTACAATTCCTGAGAAAAACTGCTCAATTACAGTAATTTGAGTATTTGTATTTTGTTACTTTACACCACTGCTGTTAGTATAGAGTTAATACTTAATAAATGATTTATTGTGTGCAGTTATTATATATTTATTGAGTAAAAAGTCATAGTTAATGATTACTAACAGTAAAAATTGTACTTTAAAATAAAGCCAAATAAAATAAAATCTTTAATATAGTGTAATATTATAATATATATTAATAATTATTTCTTTGTTATGACATTTTCCAGTAAAATATGTTGTATGAATAGAATGTACGTAATTTAGAAATCTGATTAATTGTAGAATGGCAATGTAAAATAGATGAACACTTAATGAATGAATAACTCTTATTGTATTAGAATGCAAAATCTATAACAGACTTACACTTCTTTTTTCCTTTGTGAGCTGTGGGCAGCTTTATGTCCAGTTGTCTGCTGTTTGAGGTACAGTAAGTTATTGTGCAAAACCTTATTAAAGTTAGAGTGCCATTGTGTGCTGCAAATCTGGATTTAACCCTGATAAACACATTCAATCTGTATTAAATTGGATAAGATACAGTGCTCACCATTTATAAGTACACCCCTCGGAAATCTATCTTTCAGTTTCTTATTTATAATAGGAAGCTTTACAATATTACATGTGTGCTTATACATTAGATTAGTCAGTACTGAAGCCAAATCTGGAGCTTATCTAACAAAATAACATACAATAATGGTCCAAAAACTAGTACAGCCAAATTATAGGTTATAGAAAAATATTAAATAAAAATAAAAAAAAGGAAAAATCAAGAAATTAAAAAAATAAATAAATTAGTAGAAATTTGTAGGTTAAATTTGAAATTTGCATATTACATTTTGAATTGAATTATGCTACTCATATGCTTCCATAGTTCTGAAGGCAAGGGGGCACTAGTAGGTGTACCTAATAAAGTGGCCGGTGTGTGTAAATATTCATAAAAAATAAATATTAAAATATGTTAAAATAATATTAATACGGTTTTAGTTTGAACATCATTTTGCATTAATTTAATAGCCACAGTGATATCTATCTATCTATCTATCTATCTATCTATCTATCTATCTATCTATCTATCTATCTATCTATCTATCATGGCAAAACACGATAAACATAATAATCTATATTTATTTTAACGTTATCTATTTTTAGTTTCAGAAGTTGCTGATCCCATTCAGCGTGGGTTTAACGTAAGTTGCAAACTACAAAATAACTATGAAAGAGCGTAAATAGATTTTAATGTATTCGGAAGGTTAAACACTGTGCTAAAATGGCTCTTGTTCGGTCAACATTTATGACAGCAATCAACCATGAGAAGTCGTCGTCTTACCTTATTTTTAGACATATTAGGAACTAACCGTCTGAAAACACTGAAACATTAGCAGTCTGACTGGAACTGTGGTCTATTTGTTGTCATAGCAACCACTGAACGGACCTATCGCTATGTCGCATTCTGTAGTGACGTACTCAGAGCAAACCACCACGCCTCTCATATAATGAAAAAAAAATCATATAATGTATGAATGAATGAATGAATGAATTAATTAATGCTCTCTTAATATGTGGATATCTGTTGTTTTATTCTTGTTAATTGATTGGCTCACGAAAATAATACAAACGCAGAGGCTCAAATACATGAACGAGGCTGGGAGTAAAGTCTACGATGAGCCCAGCAGAGCTCCTTGGTGTAAGCAACACTCATGTACACTAGGCGGCAGCACAATCCAAATAAAAGTATCCTAAAAGAAACTATCTTCACAGGTGCATCTTTATAGAGTCATGATGACAAAAAGAGTGTCTAAACCAGACCCATGTCTATTCTTTTTACCTTTACTATAGACTACACTGGCTTCTCAACTGGTGATTTATATTATTAATATCTGTCACACAGCATAGAAGGGGAAAAGCAACAATTAGATCACACACACACACACACACACACACACACACACACACACACACACACACACACACACACACACACACACACACACACACACACACACACACACACAAATTAAGCTGTCCGCTGGATTGTACACTACTTAAAGCAGTGGTCTCAAATTCAATTCCTGGAGGGCCGCTGCTCAGCATAGTTTAGCTTTAACCACCTCCAACTCACTGCTTAATAGTCCATAGTTGTCTTGAACATCATGATTAGTTAGATCTGTTGTGTTTAATTAGGGTTGGGGCAAAACTGTGCAGAGCTGCGGCCCTCCAGAAAATGAGGTTGAGACCTATGTGACTTAAAGGGATAGTTTAATTCCACAGAAAATGATTGAACTATGAATGTTGGTGGGTCCCAGAAACCAACATGCTCCAAATTATCTTCTTTTGTTCAACATAAGATTTAAATGTTTTATTTATTTATTTTTGGACGTTTTAGTATCAACAAAACATTGTGAATGAGTGATTCAAAAAAATGTTACCTCTGGGGAGGGACAGGATGGGTGTGGGGATTTTACGCATACTTGTATTCATTTGTACACACATATTTAGGAAATATATTTACAGTAAATCACCCTAAAGTAATTTTATGATTTTATAAGGTGTAGTGCATTCACAGTGGGCAAGCGGACTTACTATAGACGAGAGTTTACCCATATTTTCATTCATATTTGTACAGTACACAATAATAAAAAAAAAAAAAACTGTACTCAGGGCTGGATTAACCAATGGGCATTATGGGCAGAGGCCCAAGAGCCCGTGCGTACTTGGGTCCCCTGCGAGGGGGGGAAATGCTGATTTTGTCACTACAAAATCAGGCTCTATTCAAAATCTATTTAGGCTAAATGCAAATATCTCACCTTATTTGAATAAGCTAATTGAGTGATTTGCGCCCATCACTGTTTTATTGACAGAGAGAACATACACGTAACTAAAGAAGATGACACACAGCAGCATAAGTGGCATAGCCACTTTAGATGCATTCGATCATGAACCTGGTTCGAATACAGCATCGGATGAACTAATTTTTCTTTTTTTCCCCCGACTACATATCAGATTTTGCCTACTCATCATCACAAGGAAGACAAGTAGGATTCATTAATAAGTGTGTGTATTATAGAAGACTCAGATTCGAACTGGATTGGGGAGGTGTTATATCCGAATCATATGCATTACAAGTGTGTAGAAGTTACACATTAAAAACACCCTTAAATATAATTTTTTTTATCGCTTCAGTGAACTTGAACAAGTATATTAAAATCCATTCATTTTCACTAATTGTATAAGAATTTGTTTTAATTGCTTTAAAAATGAGTTAAATATCTGTAGGCTAGAAATATATTTACTGTATATCATTTACTTAAAAATGCAGGCAATACATTATAGATTAATTTTATTTTAAAAATACTATGTTATTCTTATTTTTTAATATAACAATAGGGGTGCGACCAAGTAGGGGGCTTACAAGACATTGTGCCTAGGGGCCTCTGAATTCTGATTCCGGGCCAGTTGCACAAAATGGAGGCATGTAAAATGTGGGTAAAATACTCATTTTGACTATACCTGGCATAACCAGTTAAAAAATTTCAGTATGCTTTATAATGATACAGCTTGTTTTGAAACAAGAAAATTGAAACTTCAGCTGTACCCTGATTTCAACATTTGATCTTATTAACACCTGATTTTTATTTGAGGTAAAAATTAAATAAATAAATAAATAAAATAAATAATATTAATTGATTGTTTTGTGTTGTGATTTTGTTTTATGAAATTCTCTTTTTTTGTTTAAATTTTTTATGTTTTTTTGCTGTTTGCAGGGTACCAACATGTTACAAATGAGAATTCTTCCCACAAATTCTATGCACAACTGGACACCACCTATTTCGTTTGATGACAATTTTAAGGCAAACACCATCCAAGACTGTCCATACAGCAGTTACCCTGGCTAATCTTTTGAAAGTTGATGATGAGCAGGTATGTTTGGGATCATGTGCTAAAGTATTCATTAAAATATAACTAGAGTTTAATTACATTTTTTTCTTTCTTGATTTTCATCTTTGCAGTTACTGTTATCAGAGGTATTTCGGTCTTGCTGCGTAATGTGTGACTTTGGGTTCTTTTGTACCACCCTGGTAAGCCTTAATTCATTGTTTTTACGATTGATGAATCATGTAATATTGGCTCAGTCATATTGATAATGTCCTAACATTAAAATCCTTGAATTATATTTTTAGATTGATAATCCTGAAGTGCTGACAGAGGATGCTCTATTGGCCCTGCATTCACTGAGGGTCTTTGTTGTCCTGGAGAATAAAATGTACACCACCCACAGCACACTTCCAGGCCTTTCTTTTCTACTTTGGGTTTATGTATGCTCTTCACATGATATATAGTAAAGGACTTGGAAAAACCTTAGAATATTTGCAAAAAGTTTTGCTTGGCATTGGCATCGATGATAGAAAATAGAAAGTCTCCTAGCATACAAACCTTATAGAATGAGTTGATGCAGAGCTTCTTTTTTGACTCAGTAAAAACTGTCACTGGGGTAGTAACTTCAAAACATGTATGTACCTTTAATTGGTAGGGGTGCATATTGTATGAATAGTTATAGTATGCCCAAAGTGTAAAATTCTGTCATTTTCTCAGTCTTCACTTGTTCCAAACCTGTTTAAATTTCTTTCTTCTGTTGAACACAAAAGTTATTTTGAGAAAAGCTGAAAATCGGTAACCATTGGCTTTAGGAAAACAAATACTGTAAAAATCAATGATTACAGGAATGTGTCAAGACTGTAAGTTTTATACTTATTATTAATATATTATTATTTATTAACAGTTTTTTTTTTCTTGAAGCTCTTATGTTTGATCGTCTTGTATTAGGATTTTGGACATTCCTTATTCATTTTAGAATAGTGTTTATTTTAAATCTCCTACTGTCTATTGTTTTTAATGTTTTAAGACATTTTTAATTGCATAAGAAGCAAAATTGAAGTTATTGTTGGACATTTTTTGTTTAAAAATGAATGTAAAAATGGTATTGCCTGTTATTTTTAAATTACAGATGTATTTTGATACATTAATGGGGTTTACAGGCTAATTTTATTTGTGAAACTCAAGATGTAGTTGTTAATTAAAAAATGTTATCAAAATGTATGAGCTGGGTGACTAAGTATTTAAAGTTGGGATAAATAAATATAAAATAAGTTAATTGCTATTAAAATGTATGAGCTTGGTAACTTGGGTATTTTAAGTTAGGAGAAGTATCTTGCATGAGTGCAACAAACTGAAAACTTGATGTTTCTGTTTACTTAACATAGAAAATAGGCGACGCAGTGGCGCAGTGGATAGCACGTTTGCCTCACAGCAAGAAGGTCGCTGGTTCGATCCTTGGATCAGTTGGTGTTTCTGTGTGGAGTTTGCATGTTCTCTTGCGTTCGTGTGGGTTTCCTCTGGGTGCTCTGGTTTCCCCCACAGTCCAAAGACATGTGGTACAGGTGAATTGCGTAGGCTAAATTGTCCGTAGTGTATGAGTGTCTGTGTGTATGTTTCCCAGAGATGGGTTGCGGGTGGAAGGGCATCCGCTGTGTAAAAACTTGCTGGATAAGTTGGCGGTTCATCCTGCTGTGGCGATCACGGATTAATAAAGGGACTAAGCCGACAAGAAAATGATTGAACGAATGAGAAAATAGAAATGTAATTTATGTAATTTATGTATTACAGTGTGTCAGCAAAAAAAATCATAAAACAACAAAGTGCAAAAATTATTTTAAAAAATCATTCTTACCTCATTTATTTAATATTCCTTCCACTAAGTACCTTTATTAATCTTGGGTCTCCACAGCGAAATGAACTGCCAACTTAACCAGCATATGTTTTACGCAGCGGATGCCTTTCAAGCTGCAACGCAACATGGGGAAACAATCTCACACACACACACACACACACACACACACACACACACACACACACACACACACACACACACACACACACACACACACACACACACACACACAGCTAGTTTATTTTATTCAATTCACCTATACCACGTCTTTGGACTGTGGGAGAAACCGGAGCGCACAAAGGAAACCCACACAAACACGGGGAGAACATGCAAACTCCACACAGAAACGGCAACTGACATTGCGACCTACTGTCGCCATGCGAAATGCACTGTAACCTTACAGGAAGTAGGTTGCTGTTTCGAATCCCAGCTTTCCCCCAAAGACGTGCTGTATAAATAAATTGGATAAACAAAATTGCCCAAATTGTGTGAGTGTGTGTGAATAAGAGACAACTTCAGTGTATATGTTCACTAAACTTAAACCATGTCCATTACACTTGAATTATTAAGTACTATCAACATACAGTTCTTAATTACAACAACTTACCAGTTAACTAGTTAACTAAGTTAACAAATTTAGCTTACCCAGAAACCAGAGCACCTGGAGGAAACCCACGTGAACACAGGGAGGACATGCAAACT